TGATTTTTTTCTAAATTATATTGTCTGAATTTTTAGGGCTTGCAAACTTTGAAGAATTTAAATGATCTCAACCTTGCTGGAAATCTAATAAGCAGCATTGGTATGTACTATTTCATTTGGAATCTGAGATAATGCTATAATAATTTTTATTAGTATAAAAAAGTACATGCTTAGATTTCTTTCTTTTAGACTTTTTTGTATAATATAATAATACATTATTATGCAATATAATGTACATTATAATGCAAAACATTTCTCAACCTGTGATTACAGGATGTGAAAACATTACCCACTAATCAGTTGTTACTAATTATACAATGATACCATTAGTCTTATTTATATGCAAGAATTGATGGCCATGTACAATTCAGAAGTACAACATGATATGAACAGGAGTAAAACAGGAAATTTAATTTTTCTTTCATCTTGTTTTTTAAAGGCCGATGTCTTGACCCTAATGAACAACTGGAAAGATTAAACCTTTCTGGTAACCAAATATGTTCTTTCAAGGTATGTTTAAGTGGAATGATTCATTTTATTTATCAGCCTGGATCATGAACCATTTTGTTGCATAAAATGTACTAAAAAGTCCCCTTTTAAGAATAATGTTATTATTTTGGGATACCTGATAACTCTAGGAAATTTGAGAGTCAGCTGACTACATTGGCCTTAATGATTTGATACTATTAAAGTCAAACAAGAAACTTTTACTTGGCTCTTAGGATGCCATTTTCTCTTACTTTTCTTTCAGTTTCTGTGGCTACAACTCTTCAGTTTCTGTTTTTTCATCCTCTCCTAGCATCTACAAGATTGACTGCCCTTGATCAATCCTGGGGTTGTTTCTCATTTCTATCTGCCTTCATTCTCTAAATAATTTCATCATGTCTTACGACTTTAAATACCTTTTATCTACTGATTACTCCTAAATTGGTACCTTTAGTTTCCCTGACAACTCCCCAGAACTATAAACATCTCCTATCCTAACTTGAATTGATTTCCCCTCCACCAAACCTTCTTCTCCTGCAGCCTTCCCCACCTCTCTAAATGGTATCTCCATTCTTCCAGTAACTTAAGCCAAAATCCTTCATCATTTTTTACTTCTCTTGTCCAATCCATCAGCAAATTCTGTTGGCTTCACCTCCAGAATATGTCCAGAGTCTGACCACTTCTTACCACTTGCATCACTACCAACCTGGTTCAAGACATCATCATCTCTAACCTACATTATTGAAAATTTAAAAAAACTCCTAACAGCTCTCTCTGTGTTTATCCTTTCTCTACTATCAATCTGTGCACACCCTCACTTTAGGGCCTTTCCACTAGCAGGAATATTCTTCCCTCACATACCTGCATGGCTCATTTCCTCATTTCTTTCAGATCTTTGTTAAAATGTTATGTTCTTGGTGATGACTTTGATGCCCAATTTTGGTGTAATAAGCAACAAATCCCACTCCCCTCCCCAACCTGCCACACTCCTTATCACATTGCCTGTTTTACTTTTTCTCTTGACACATCCCTTGCTAAAATACAAGCTCCATGAGTACAGGAACTTTGTCTATTTTGTTCACCATTATACCCACAATGCTTAAAACAGTGATGGACATGTAGTAAATCTCAATAAACATTTGTCAAGAACATGAATGAAAAACAGCCAAATGAAAGGACTTATGTTTATCACATATAAGATGGGTTAAAACATGTGGCATTCTTAATTTTGACAATGTAAGATTGAAGGTGCATATTCAAACACTTCCTCTAAAAA